ACCCTAAAGGAGCCCTGATTGCAGGGTGGATGAATGGTAATATACTCAGGAAACATTTAAAAGATGCTGTGCACTTGTTAAACGTCTTTCATGGGAAATTGGGTAAACATGTAGGAAGCGTAAACACACTATGTCACACACCTGCTGTGATGTAGCACAAAAGCCAGGAAATATATTTAATTGCTGTCAGATATCATGCTTTGCATTTTGATTTGTGCAAACTGGTGTTTACATAATCACAACACACTCCTCATGTGCTTTCAGAATGTGGGGAAAATGTTTGTTGTTTTCAATTTATCAGAAATAGAATAATCTGCCAAGCAAGGCCTTTAAAGAAAGTCCTCTTCCTAGGCAGTCTCTACCGCCCTTTCATTATGATTTCCTCCCCTCCTCAACCATGAGATACTCAATTTATCCTGTCCACCAGACTTCTGGTTCACTTTCCAGGTTATTTTCTTCATACTCACATTCAAAACAGTTTCATAGAGGAACTCTCCCTCTAACCCTTTATTTTCCATTATCCTTTGTTTTCTTAAACCTTTCAAAAGATTCTTAGGTTTGATAACACATACACCTATGTAGAAATAACATTTATATGCCTTAATATGTCTTGACAGCATAATAAGTACACAAATTAAATGAATAGGGTAAGGGATCGGCTGTATTTTGGTTCATTTTCATCCATCTCCTCCAGAAAGTATTTTCACAGATTTTCTGGTTGGTTTGAAGTGGGTAGATTGAGTGCCTTAAAAAACAAAAACAAAAAACTTTCCGGGCTGGGGATTTAGCTCAGTGGTTTCGCTGCCTGCTGTGCAAGCGCAAGGACCGGAGTTCGATCCCCGGTACCAAGAATAAAAAAAAAACTTTCCTACTTCCTAGATCTTACATGCAGTTTTGATTTTAGGTAAATCAGTGAGTTTGCATGTTTGCCTTAGTACTTTCCTGAATACCCAACACAGTAGAACTAAATCTGATTTAATTTTATCCTTAACCTTCGGTCTGCTTTTTCTTTTCTGCTTCAGATTTCCTCCATGTGTGCCACGCTTCCATATCATCTTCATTTCCTCTTCTAAGTCGTGAAGGGGCTTGTACATCTGTGGAGGATTAGCTCTCAGGGACTGCTCCTCTTTCCCCACTGCCGCCGAGCCTGCTCCTTATTTAAATGAAAAGGGCACCAAAGTTTATAAATGAGGTCTTTAGGCCCGAGCACCAGCCAGGAGTTAACCCTGCAGAATAAGCCCACACCCAGGAGCCGTCTGACAACGTTTCTCAAATGTCAATAAAACACTAGTTAGGAATTTGGGTTAATACATCCCAAAGTAGTCATTTTCTCATTCCTAAAATTCTTGTCTTGGAGGGGATATTTTCTAAGACAATTAAGTAATTCATTTTCACTACTTCACTGAATTCCAGGCTCAGGCAGGGGCATCTGTTGACACCTCTGACTGTCCTTCTCTGCATCCTGATGAAGGTTAGACCTGGGGTCTGGGACAAACAAGCCGCAGTTTTGCCCCGACACTGAACTATGGTGAATGTGCTTCCTTCAAACCACACGATACCTAGTAAAAGTAATCCGTTTTTGGAAATAACTGTTATTTTAACAAAACAAAATTCATTGAAACAATCATGATTTCTTTTTTCAGTGCCGGAAATCGAACTCAGGACTTTGCGCTTGCCAGGCAGGTGCAGTGCCGCTGAGACAATCCTGATTTGTTAATGGTCCACTCTTCCTCTGGCGGTGTGCTTAACTCGACGTGGCCCCATTCCTTCTTCCTTTAGTTCAAGTCAGCAGAGAGTAGATCTATCCAGGAAACCTGGGTGAGCCCCATTCATCAAAAAGATTCACACTGAAGAAAAGCCCAGTCCTGAAGTCCATGCATTTCTGACCAGTGCACGGAGGGCTAGGACACAGTTACAGCTGTTTTTCTTATGCCCAGGAGCTGAGGGGTAAACTGACCAGGCAGTGGGATGCAGCGGGGCTGCCCTTCACAGGGTCCTCTGGTCCTGCTGAGTCTGTTGTTTAAGAGCAGACCCTGTGCTCCCAGCATTGACAGCTTTACAGCGAGCGCACTTGCTGTGTGTGTAAACACTGAACTTCCCTGTCGGCAATAACAAAGACTTTCTAAGTGTGTGTATAATTTTTCAAATTAATTTTTAAACCTTGGGTGTATGCTTTTGAGTGTCGCAGTGTCTGGGTCAGGGTGAGAATCGAGGGGACCCCACAGCCAAGTGGCACTGAATGGAAACTCTGTCTTCCCCACAGGACGGCTGGGCTCCTGGGACAGGGACCTGGGTGCACGGCGGTGAAGCATTTGCTCCTTCCTAGTCTGGACGATGTCTTCCGTTTCATAAGCTGCGTCCCCAAAGAGTAAGTGCTCAGCGCAGAGTTTCGAGGGGGACTTTTTCAAGCTGCTACAAGGGACAGGGGATGGACAAACCTCACCACACGGAGCCCCACGCTGTGCAGCGTTACAGAATCCTTAAAGATGAAAGGAAAGGACAGTCAGTATCCCTGCCGAGTGCCTGCTTGTTCTTGAGGGTTTCTATCTAATCACGTAACCGGCACAGATTTCTGGGTGACAGGGTGTGGAGAGGGTAACCTGGGGCCACGTTTAGGTGACAGACTTCAGTAGATGTTGGCGATCCTGGGACTGGAAAGTGGTGCTTCCCTTTCTGGACATGCTAATAAGAAACCGCAGTCTCAGTGGAGTTCAGAGCAACTCTGACTGCCTAAAGTTCTGCTCTTCACTCATACACACACCGTTTATCATTTCAATTATTTTATTACCTCGCTTGACAAGCGCTGTAACACTCTGAAACTACAAGCATGCTTCCAGTTCATATGCTCCTATTTCAGAATGAAAAGCTTCTTATGGAGGCACGAGGGACTTTTTAATAATTTACTTGTTCTAATAAACTTCAAGCGTACTTTGGATAATAATAAAATACCTAGGAAGCAGGAACTGGGTTTTTGGCCTCTTTCTCTCTGTCTCTCTCTCTCTCTCTCTCTCTCTCTCTCTCTCTCGTACCGAGGATTGAACTTGGGTCCTTGCGGTTGCGAGGCAGGCAGCGAAACCACTGAACTAAATCCCTGGCCCTTTGGCTGCTTTCTTAACGGAAGGCAAGGTAAAATTGTGTAATTTTTGTTCTCTATAGAAAGGCTGTCCATTTAAAACAAAACAATGTAATATCAGTCAATCATTCAACACACGTTTACTGTGTTCCAACAAGCAGGATGCTCAGTATGATATGATTAGATATTATTCCTTTTGAGCTGGAACTATAGGATTTGATTCTTTCAAAGAGCTTTTTCTTTTTTATTGGTATGTGTCTGCATTATATAATACTTCATTGTGGGGAATTAGTGCATCTACATATTATATATCGCTCATTTTCAGTTTTTATAATTTAGGGTCTTCTTTTTTTTTTTTTTTGGTACTGGGGATCGAACTCGGCTCCTTGCACTTTCAAGGCAGGCAGTGGAACCACTGAGCTAAATCCCTGGCCCATTATTATTTATGATTTTGAGACAAAGGCTCACTAAGTTGCCCAGGTTGTGCTTGGACTTGTAATCCTCCTGCCTCAGCATCCTACAGTGCTAGGTTTACACATGTATGTGCCTCCACACCCAGTTCTGTTGATATTTTAAATCTGTTGATATCTATTGAAAACATGGGTCAGAACAGAAGCTGGTTATAAAGTTTTTGGCCTAATGGTGATAAAAAAAACAGAAGTAATAAGCCAATTTGTAATGGATAGTTAAACTTATACTGTACATATATCATTATTTCAATTTCAAAAACACAACAAATTAAAGGAGATGAAACATATTGCTGATAATATAATCAGTGTTAGTTATGACAGAAAACACAAGGACTGAATAATAATAGCTTTCTTTTTAAAATTTAAAATACAGTATGTATAATTAATACTCTAAACACATTTTTGAGGGGGTTTCCTATCATCTTGAACAATCACATCTCACGAGCCTTTTGGGTTAAGACTGTTAGGTCTTAAATTCTTTGTGGGGAAGCAATGCAATTTCATTTCACAACTTTTCCCAAACTGTCAGTTGCTCTTCCAGGCCAGGTCTCCTGGCCCCTGCTGAGCATCTCAGCTAGGGCGTGACCCTGTACCTAGAGACACCTCCAGGCAGAAGCAGTCTCAGCAGCACGAACAGAGTGCTGTTCTTTTTTCCTTTCTAGATCTGACAGGAAGGCAGGCACTCTCACAAAGGAGAGAGTGCCAAGCTACGAGGGTTGGTTCTGTGACTATAACCATCAACTATGCTAACCTGTGTGGTTTCCCAGACACTAGTGGAATCCACTAGCAGGGTCTCCACTCCTTTGATGCTGTACCTGCTGCCTCTGAAACAAAGTGGGTGCAGGAGGACACAGAGAGCTAACTCCCAGAGAGCAGGTGCCATCACTCCAGCGCAACTCCCTGGCCACCAGGAAGCGGCTGCCCGACAGCCAGATGGGACACACACGCGGATGTAGGAGCAGGAGCAGGACACCTTGGAAGTGTCCTCCTCTAGCACCAAAGTTCTATTCTTCCGTCTCCTCCCTGTCTTCTTACACAATAGCCCCACTGCCTCCTACAGTCCATACTCTAGACAGAGTCAACAAGCCAGCCAATCAGAACAACCTTCCCACTGAAGGCCAGGCAGGTTCAGGAGAAATTCTGCAGAGCCATTGATTCCTGAGCAGCAACTCCTGCTAATGGGATTATCGCTCAGTCTGCAGAGCAGGGGAGCATATTGATTCACTTTCTGCATTCCACATCTACTTCCTGCTACCCGCACAGCAGCCCATCTACCAATCAATTCTTACCACCAAAAAAGACCACACCTTGAACGCTGTATCAGAAACCCACAGGGCAGGGCAGGGGGTGCAGTTCAGTGGCAGAGCATGCCTGGGGCCCAAGGTTCCATCCCAGGACCAACCACTTAACAACAACAAAACCTATATGGCAATGCAGATATAATTATTTCAACTTACAGTTTTACAATGTCAACTGGTTGTCTTGCTTTTCCCAAGTTCAAACTAATTGAAGGTTCTGAAGTAACCACTTCCCCTCAGAGGCCAGGACTTTCACCTCTGCACAGGAAAATACCTGTCATAAATCAGGTAACAGCAAGGGTGTGAGGACTGAACCATGGCCCAGGATGCTCCAGCTGCCAATTCATTACCGAGCCCTCCGGTCTGCCAACACTGGCATCCCTGAGAGTCAGAGTAGAAACTTACTTCATCATTTATCTGAAAGTCTAAACGTGGTGACCTAAGCAGCCTGCAGAGATTCTAGTTTTTCGTGCCGGCTTCCATTTGTTTCACAGTGCAGCGAGAAGAAAAACGCAAGGAACGAGCTCACTCAGTCTAAAACTCTGCCTGTTTAGATTCACTGGGCTTCCACCAACTGCAACTTGGTCGCCACAGATGATCTTAAGAGGTAAAAATAAGTAAAAAAGGAAGTACCGAGATCAAAGCAGTGCTGACAGGGGCAGGACTGTTTTTGCAGTATATACCCTGGCAGTCACTGACTGGGCTAGAAAACCAGAGACATCCACTCGGTTCAAGGGGAGTCAGCACTAGTTGCAGAACACAAGATAAAGCCGAAATTTTAAAACTGAGATAACGCAGCATCACTTCGCCACCAACTTTTAATAGGGTGATGCTGCTTTCTTAAAGCAGTCTTTCAAACAGTTTAGAAGGGGTTGATTTTTCACAGCAAGTAGCACTGGCTCCGGCCAATGAAGTAATCTTACTTTCTGTCTGGTTCATTGGGCAGGGTACAGCACAGGAAGACCTTTTAGCTAAGCAGGTGAGGGAGGATAATCAGGAGCCACACTTGTAGCTACGGAGAGACAGTTTAAGATGTCGTGTTTCCACTCATTACACATGATAAATGTATAATAGGAAACATCTCTTTTTCATTTTCTGTCTACCTGAATTCATAAGTTCACAACCAAACAAAAGCCCTTTGCTTTAAATTATTTACATAATTTTTTATTGGATCAAACAGCAAAAGGATTCATGTCTAGAAAGCACAATATGAAAATCAGGAACATACTTCAGGCAAAGGCTTAATTTTAATCCAGTTTCTTTTTTAAAGCTTTAACAAATAAGAATGTAGTTTAAGCTACTCAGCGCTTCAGTCGAGTTCTTTGAGAAAACTAGTGAAATCTTAATCTGAAGCCTTAGTATGAGAGCAAAGATCAGTTTGTAGGAGAATGTTTTAGTGCCTGGGCTAGTGAATGTTTGGAGAATACTATAGCCATTTCTCACTTAGGAGCCCTATAACAAAATCTTTGGGTCAAATACAGATATTTTATAAGCTCAATATAAAGCTGTACTTTAAGTCCATAAATATGTCTTAAATCTGGACGACCAACCAGATGCTGTATCCCGGGTCTTACTTCAGTTTCAGAACACACCAATAACCCAGGGCCAACAGCTCCGCCGTGTGCATTTTTGAAGCCCCCAAGAAAACTTAACTGGGGCAGGCGTGGTTGGTATCACTAGCACTGCTCAGAGGTCACGCTGGGCGCCTGGTGCCATTGTCCACGAGTTTTACATAATCAAGCGTCTGAGAAGTGCCAGGAGGGGGGATCTCTTGGCTCCAAGGCCAGGCCCCGCCATCGTACCAGGCCCTGCTTAATTCTGCAACATTAACGCGCAGGAGAGGGAGAGGGCTCGCGGCAGGCCCAGGCCCGGCACCCCGGGGGCTCTGGCGGCGCCCCAGCTCCCAGCCCGGGGTGAGCCCGCTGTGCCCGGCGTCCACCTCGCCGCCGCGGCCTGGGCCGAGCAGCCCCGGTCCCGCCCTGGTCCCCGCCGGCCCGGCCCGGAACGAGGAAGTGGCTGCGCCCCGCTGGGCCCCGCGCGCCCTGCTCACCCTGCGGCCCGCGGTCCCGGGGTCGCGGCCGGGCTGACGGATCGGATCCGGTCGGGTCTCAGCGGTCTGATCGGGCCGGGCCGGAGCGGGTCTGAGCGGATCGGTCGGATCGCGTCGGATCGGGTCCGGTCAGCGGCCCTCCATGCTGCGCGCGGGACGGGCGGGGACGCGGTGGCGAGCAGGGCGGCGCGGACCGCGGGGAAGGCAGGCGGACCGCGGGGAAGGCAGCGCCGTCCGGCGTCGCCCAGTAGCGAAACCTCCTCTTCCTGCGGGTGGCGGCGCTGCCTCGGCCTCGCTCGCGCTCTCACTTCCTGCTGGAAATTCCCGCTGACGTCGGCGGGGCCGGGCCCGGGGGCGGGGGAAGCCCGGGGAGGGGGACTCGGGGACGGGGACCCTGGGGTGGGGTGGGGGCGGGGCGGGGACCCCAACCTCTTCAGGCGGCCTCGTGGTTGAATGGGGGCAGCGGGTCCCCAACGGGCCTGGGGATCCGAGCCCCCGATAACGTCCGTGCCGCCCGACTCACCCCGGCTGACGGCTCCAGTTCTCCGGAATCCGCACTTTCACCCTGATTCCGATGTCACCCCGCCCCGTCCATGAAGGATGACAGCTGAGCGTCCTGACGCCTTCGGGGTCCGCAGTCCTGCCCACGTCGGTTACCCGGGAAACACCTGGCCACGGTCATCCTGGCGGCCCTGGAATTCCAGCCCTGGCCGGACCTCTCGGGCGGGCACAGCACCGGGGACAGGGCTCCCGTGGGACCGCCCGCCTCAGGCCCTGGACCCCACTCCCTTTAGGCGCAGGTCGTGATGCCCTGGGTTGAAGCAGCCTGTGGAGCTCGCTGTGTAATTTAACTTGCAAACATCAGGAATGGGTCAGAAGCCATGGCCGTGTTGCAGAGGTGTGGAGGGCGGTGGCCTCAGGTGGCCTCTCGTCCCTCTGCCCGAGGCTGTCAGGACCTCCTGGTGCAGTTGGGGAGGAACTGGATCCTTTTTACTGGCTGTATGCTGTCATTTAGCTCCCTTGAAACAGCTAGAATTCAGGGGATCCTTGAGGATCAGGAGCAACGATGTTATTTATGGGACATTATTAGAAATCCGCCACTGTTACACCCAAGGAGGTTGATGTATAATTTATATAAAATGATGGGCCTTCTCCTTTCTGCCCAGGGACCAATGTGAGCATGAGAGACAGCTACAGGAGTAGAGCCAGGGCCGTTCATTTGGGGAACATAAATCGAAGAGTTAACTGGTGCCGAGTTCAGTTAAATTTCAAACTTCAAATGTCCTCTTAGAGTGAACTTGAAGCTGAGGGTGGAGTGTCGGCATAATTTCCTCGGACCCTGGTAACGGATTGCGCCAGGTGGATGGCCTAATGCTGCCTGGCCTTGTCCTGGAACAGAAATCCTGGGGCCACAATGGCCATGCTCCCTCCTGGCTCCGGGAAATGTCTGGAGCCCCTTCCCGGCCTCTGGTGGCTCTGGTCACTCTGGCAGGGCTCTGTCACCTCATCTGTGCCTCCATCTCCTTTCTCTGATTAGGAAACTCGTCATTGGATTCGGAGCACACTCTAGCCCAGTGTGACCCCTTAACTTGATTACAGCTGCGGAAGACCCTGTTTCCCAATAAGATCGTGTTCATAGTTACCTGGGTGAGGGTTTGACTGTAACTGGGGGGGATGCAATTCATAGCCCTGCAGCAGACAAAACCAAGCCCACTTTGCTCTTTTTGGCTCCCCAGTTAACTTTCCCATGCCCCTTAGAAGTTGTCCAGGATTTTCTCTGAACTGGATACAAACCTGCTTTCAGAATGTTCTCACAAACTCACCCACTCTAAGATGTCAAAAGGCATTGCCCCTGTTTGGTCACAGAAGTGAAAGAAAAGCTTGAAGTGGAACTTCAGGCACTGATAGTGTGAGAAAGCAGGTTGAGTTTGCCACCGAATCCTGAAGTCACACGGATTTCCTTGCTCCTGGAGCCGAGTGTTGGAAACGGCATGCAGAGAATTCTGCGGGCAACATTGGTAGAGCATGTGCACCATGGTGAGACACTGTGTGGTGTGGGTCCTAAGACCTGCCCTGAGTACAGAGCGAGAGTGCGTGGTGTCTCTGGGGAAACCAACCTCAGGGTCCCTATAAACACGTCCTCGGAGCTGCTGGTGGAATGGGAAGATCAGACTGGAGATGGAGCCCTGGCTCCATCTTGAATTATGTGTAACTTTCACCCAGTAATAACTGGTCTGAATGGCAGCCACTGCAGCTCACAAACGAAGACAGCTTTGCGTGATGCTTTACATTATGCACGTCACATATATGTCACAACTTACATGCCGTGTTAGGTGTATGTACAGTGACAATGTGTATGTTATGTGATAACTGCCCTGACTTGTGGTTCTGTAGACTAAAAGGAGATTTAAAAATGCAAAGGGCCTATATAAGCATACACAATTACGAGAACTTTTCAGTTAAAATCAATTGAAGTTCATTTCCTCGTCGTCCGGGGTGTAAGTGTCGGCCAGAGAACACCAGAGTGTCCACTCCTCCCGGCACATCTGATCCTTGAGCAAAGGATGTCTTTTAGCTCTACCAGTGTCCCCGGCCAGCAGGTAGCACAGTGAGAGCCTCCACTGCCTGTTAGTGGCAGCAAAGACAGAGGTGACACGATCTCCACTCCCCACAAACCTTGGAGACGACCCCTGACGTGGGAGCCAGGATACAGTGATTTGTGTGACAGGTTTTATCACTGAGAGTGAACCTGACAGAGGAAGAGCAAATTTCTTCCTCACCTGGAGAATCCAGAGTATTATTCCCTTGGCCCTGAAGCCTCGGGTGCGGACACCTACACATTTAAAGTGGCCGTGATTCACCAAGTGGCCCGGCATCTCTTCTGTTGGCTAAGTGGGTGTTTACACCCTGCCCGCACTGGCCTCAGGTGTTTGTGAAGCACAGGCAGTGCAAGTGAGCGCTGGGCAGAGTGTGGCCGGTGCTAACATTGGGGTAACAATGCAGTGAGGAGACAGCGGCCAGCACTGCCCACACCTGGCCGTCCCTTGCAGGAAGTGGCTGTTCTGGTCCTGTCCTGAGCAGCTGTGTGTGCAGCCTCACAGTCCACCCCTCTGTGATGTCACCCACCTGGTGGCGGTGTCCCAGGTCACAGGATCAGATACCCAGTGCCCCAGCTGCCAGCTCCTTGGGAAGCCTTGGTCCTGTTGGCTGCGACCAGCAACACTTGTGTGTCTGCAGTAGAGAGGACTACACTGGGTGGTACCCAACGGTGGTGAGGGATGCCAGAGAATGGAAGTGGAGGGGCTGGGCACTCAGATCCTAGCATGGATTTATAGTGCTTAGAGCAAATTCCATGAAAGACAACCACATGTTCAGGAGGGTTCTGATTGTTCTTTCCTTTAAAATTAAGGGCCTAGGGCCGAGGATTTAGCTCAGTGGTTCCAGAGCCTGCCTCGAAAGCACAAGGTCCCAAGTTCGATCCCCAGTACCAAAAAAAAAAAATTAGGGGCCTAGGGCTGGGGATTTAGCTGAGTGGTGCCACCGCCGGCCTCGCAAGCACAAAGTCTCGAGTTCGATCCCCAGTACCAAAAAAAAAAAAAAAAAGAAAAAGAAAATTAGGGGACCTGGGGTGTGGCTCAGTGGTAATGTGTACCTCACATGCATGAAAATACACTAAAAACCATTGCTACACACACACACACACACACACACACACTCACCTGACCTACTGAAAACCGAGAAAATAGATTGTTTTGCTAGAGCATTGGGCGAAGCCTGCTCCACAGGGTGGAGACACTCAGGAGAGGGCTGCAGGTGCAGGGGAGGATTTGAATTCAGGCCAACTTGTCCTCCATACCCAGGGGCCTGAGGTCCAGGTGGCCCGAGGAGTTACAGTTGGTAGGGGAAGGCCTGGGACCATCTGTCCTGATTCTTTGAAGCAGTAAAGAAGAAATGGATTCTGTGTTGTTTTCCTCCTTATAAGAAACACAAAATACTATTTTTCACTCTCTTGACAGTAAGAACCCTGGAATTAATCAACAATAAATGATTAATGATACGACAATGTAAGTGGGTAGAACAAAGACTTTTCTAACCAAGTATGTCCTGAGGAAACAGACTGTGCAGGGCAGAAAGAATCTCCGTTTACAGGGTCCTCGAAATCTAAGGGGAAGCTGATTGTGCTCAAGCTAAGGGGGCAGCCATGGTGCCGCCTCTGTCATTTATGGGGAATTTACTTCCTGTGGCCTCATTTCCAGTACATGTACATGGTGTTTGGGGTAAATAGTACTCACAGCTATTATAAAAAAAGTATATGGGCTGGGGATTTAGCTCAGTGGTTTCGCCACCTGCTGCACAAGCTCAAGGACTCGAGTTTAATCCCTGGTACCAAAAAAAAAAAAAAAGTATAAAAACAAAAGCTAAATATTGGTAATGCAAAGTTGCCTCAGAAAAGGAAGAGTGAGCCCAGCATGGTGGCACACACCTGTAATTCCACCACTCAGGAGGCTGGGGCAGGAGGATCACTGTGAGTTCAAGGGCAGCCTGGACTACATAGTGAGACCCTGTCAATATGTCACAAAAAAACATTAAAAAAAAAGAGGAAAGAAAGAAAAGAGCAAATGTGTCTTCTTTAATGTCTTTGATGGAAGCTGACAGCATTTTCATGCTTACCTTTCATGGTCCCACTTAGAGGCAGAGAACCCCTAACATACAGTCTTGCTTGTGTTTTAGGAAGAGAAAATAGGTCAGGTGAGTGTCTGGCTAATATTTGCCAGACACACGTAGTTATGACTTGTACCTAGTGTCCCCTAAAACCTCATGTGCTCATAGGTGGGGCTTTTCAGAAGTGGCTTGATCTGGGGTGTGTGATACTGGGATTAAGGGTGTGTGATTATTAAATTGGTTTAGCATACTCCTGAATGTGGATAATGGAAGCTGCACCCTGGGTGTGAGTGGCACCAAGCAATAGGCTTGTAGCCTGGATGGAATATACGGGACAGAAAGAAAGAAGGCAGGCTTGTTGCTTTCTGCCTGCCATGGACTGTTTCTCCTCTGTGATGCCCCTCTGCTGTGCCTCCCTGCCTTGGAGCCAGCCGACTATGGACTGAAACCTCCACACACTGTGAGCTAAATAAACCTCTTAACTTGTGGGTTGTCACATATTTTGTCCCAACAATGAGAAAGTAACTAAGACATATGTAAGGTCATTCATCTCGCAAACAGTTGTGTATAGCAGGTCACCATTAATGTCTCCTTTAAAATACATGGCAAGTTGCCCGCTTGGCCTAGGACATCACAACTTGGAAGT